AACATAAGAGCACTACAGTGCGTTTTTTCTACTCTTGAAATTGACTGCTTTTGAGCAAATTCACTTCAACAAAAGTGCCACCAGAGATGAGATGCTATACAAAAATCATACAACTATTTCCTAGTTTAATCACAAGGGGACACAGTAAAGAAAATTCAATTAATTTCTCTGCAGGAGATACTAAAATATTTGAGTGCTGCTAGAAGTAGTAGAACCAAATAAATCTTTTTTAAAAGGTCTACTAAAAAGAAGATCTACTAAATAATAGTCAACTAAAAGAACATTACATTATAATCATAAACCCAAGACAACAGACTTTCTATTTAGAACTATCTCTAAGGCAATGCAACATTCAGCTGAAAAAAGCCAAAGTAACAGAAATTATTAAGCTGGAAAAGCCAATATAAAACAAATTGTCTGTTAAGAGTTTAAGGAACACAGTTCTAATAGCTGTAATAGCAGACTCTACTAGAAAATACACCAGAACTGCAGTGTTACAGTCCAGTAAAATATTTGCATTGATGACCACAAATAGTTGTTTTTACCATGAAATGCCATTGTCTGCAGCAATCGATCAGCCACTTCTTGAGGAAAAATTCCTGGCTCCTGCAAGCATAGTGTTCCATCTTGCCTTTCTGTGCAAAACTTCTCTAGGTTGGCAGTCAGGAAATTCAAACAGAGATCAAGTAAAGAGTAAGGAGAAGCTTCCTCCTGTCGTACACAAAACAAAACAAAACAAGGTTTAGTCAAACCTTTCTCTCTGTCTATGAATCTTCCATTCCTCTGTGATATTTGCTTTAGGCAAATCAGTATTTCTTGTTAGTCTAATTCTCATTGGAACAGGCAAATAATGCAAAAGGGGATGTCCCTCCTTGGAGCCATGCACCCATCAAATCTGGCCACACAATAAACAAGTAGCCAAATTGATGGGAAAGCTCCTCCTGCAGCCACCCCCAACCACATCCAGGCTGCTCTGTTGTGCTTGAGCCCTGCTGGCACACAGAAAAATAAAAGTAATTATTGATTGTTTCAATTTATGAATTTACTGGGAATTAGGCAAGCAAGACAGACTGAAAGAAGATTTAAATCAAATTTTACTTCCTGATTTAAACTATTTTTTATCTTTCATTTATGTCAACTCACATTTGAACTCTACTACCAGCCTACATGAGAAATGTCGGTAAGTTTCATATATTGTTCAGAGCAATTTTTTGATACTAAAAAGAGCAGGTAGAGCTTCAGATCAAGAAAGGAAACTTAAAAAGAACTATTATATTGCTGCACAAAATCTGGAATTAAAGTAACAACTATCACAGTATTCCTTCTGATTATGGATACCAATTTCCTCCTTTTTATGCTAAGCACCTGGAAATAATCTATAGTAGAAGCCCAAGTACAAAAGACAAGGCAGAATAGAAACTAACTTTTCCTTCAGGGTTTGAGACTGTACATTGATATAGGAAAATTTCAAAGGTTGGGTTTTTTTTATTCAATGTTTAATAATAGCCTACTGTTTTCTGTCACACAGATTAATCAACATAAAGAATGACTGGCAGCACTGTGAATCATCCCCAGCACTACACAAAAGAAGGCCAAGTGACTGGTACATACTCCCCCAGACAATTTTTAAAATAACAGCATCAACTGCTGCCAGATCTCATCTGTAGGAAAACTGTAGCTTGCGTTTTATGCTGGAAGTTCTGGATTATTTCACCTTTCTTTCCTACTCATTTAACTTCTCTTTTGTTGATTCATTTGGTTAATATGCTCATCACAGAAGTACAGAAATATATAAAAGATTATAGAGAAAAAAATTTAAAGAAAATGATAGAAGTCTTCTAAAATAAGGTGTGTTTATATTTGAAGACTGGGAGGTACCAAGTTAGGGCAAAGATGGAATGGAGGTTATCTTTAATGAATCATATATTGACAACGAGAGACTGCAATCTAATAGCTCCTGAAGACTTAAGTACAGGTTAGGGAACCAGAAACTCCAAAGCATTCCAATGCAAGACTTTTCTGCAGCTTTTGACACGCAGCTTTCAACTCCTTTAACTCAATTTCTCTAAGTGCTTTTTTTTTTTTTTTTAAAGCTTGACTGTGACATTTTATTGTTCAAGAAACAGGAATTATTTTGTGACACAACTTGTATATTTCCAGAAAACAGCAATTTTGGCTGCCTCCAATATTAAGCTGATATCAAAAGAAAGGAAAGAATTTGAAACTGTTAATGTCTTTTGTTTCTTTATAATGTGCAACAATGCCTGAAATACTTCTAAGGAGGAAAAAAACCCCACAATTAATTAATTTAAAATAGTACATTTTTTGAAGGAAAGGATAAATTTTTCTTTTTAACCTGAAATTAATACACACACCTAGGACTTATATGACAGCTGAAGACTGAAACAAAAATCAGAACCCTTACTCAAAGGCACATGAAAATTATTCCCACCGAAGCAAAGACATTCGCTCCTCCCATTAGCTCTTGTGCTTCAAACTTGATGTTTAAATATGACAAAATCAGAATACCGGCTCTCTTTGCTCCTTCTGGCACTGCTCCATAACTTCTGCCAGAAAAGCTAACACACTTCCATGTAGCAAGAAGAAAACTTCAATGAGAATTTTTAGTTTTACAGATTGGCTGCTACAGAAAACTATTTTTTTCAACCAGTATCTCTAACCGGCTAATTTATAATTTGGAGATACTGTTTTAAGTTCTGTATAAAATAAATCACTTGAGAAGTCCACACAGGACACATCCATACAATAAAGTAACAAATTCCAAGAGCAAAGATCAATGACAGTTGCAAGCAACACAGTATCATTTTTATTATCTCCACTTATACAGTTACAGAAGATATTTGTAATGTTCCTCCACGTTGCTGAAAAAAGGGCTGAGGAAACACACCTAACAAAGGCTCCTGAGTTAACCTGGGAAGACAGGCATAACATTTTTATCTATATCTAATAAAGTCCCTTGACAAGCATCATAAAAGCAATTTCCTGTCTGCTACTGAAATAGAACAGCTTGGATGCAGCCTGTAAACCTCTTATTGTGAGCCAGTGGCATTCCTTCTCAACTTCTCTTTACTTAAGGACAACATTGCCCACTTAAAGATCTCACAGTAAAAGTCTTCAGTTGTATGTCAATCCTTAACTCTGTACGAGCTTAAGTGGTTCCTTTCTCTAGCTATGCTTTCGAATATCAACTTGAAAACAAACCTGGCATTTGTTATCAGCTCATTTCACTTTCTGGTTCTACTACTACAAGAAGACACTGACAATGTGTGTCAGCCACAGAGCAGGATTGTTTTTTTGATTTAATAAAGACAATTCAGAAATAATCGAGTAGAACTTTTATTATACATATTTGATTTTTTCATAGTCATCTTAAGTATCTGATACTTCCATGTAACCTCACAGCTTCTTTCATGCCATCAAATTAATTCAGTGGTTAGAATATAAAAATAAATTCCCCAAACCAGAGAATTACGCATTACATGATGCAAGTGTGGGTGCCTTCACTGGTTAAAACACGTATCAATAAGAGTAATGTGACACATTTAAAATCAACTAGCTTATGAAAGAGTTAAAAAAACCAACAAAATAGAAGTTTTATGCCCATTTAGATGAGTATTTCAAGGCTTATTCCAATATTTTTTTTTTTAATATAACCTTTTAAATGCTTAATATAACTAAGTCAAACAAACAAACCAACCAAAGTGTCCAGAGGGGTGAGGGGGGAGCACCTACCAGTAATCCAATACACTGGTGGACTGAAATGCAATCCAAGCTCCAGTGTGATGTTGCCTACTTCAGCTTGTAGCTCAGACACTACTGCAGTTGGAAAGGTTCTCATGCAGAACACTTATCCTCTGTGTTTTCTTCTAAAAACTCCTTGAATCAAATTATATATTGCTAGAATGTATTTAACTTATGTTTCAAAATGCAGCCAATAAGAAAAAAATGGCTTAAGGGGACATCTCAAAGTACCTGGAATAAGTCAGAGAGTCTTAAATGCAACAGTTATGTCTAGATTAACTGGCTGAGTATGATACAAAACCAAAATCCTGTTCCTTCAGGAAAGCATCACCACACAACCACCTGCTTATACAACAATAACTATAAAAAGACAGGTTTAACTAATGTTTTCCTTTGGTAGTTGCAATCCAACTTAGAAAAAAACTAAATTCCACTGCTGTGTGGGCCTTTTTCACTACAGGTATTGCGATTGTACCAACTCCAGACTGAAAGATTCAGTTCCTTCTGATTTTGTCTCTCAGACTCATTAGAAATCAAATCTTTTTTCCACAGGTAGTTTTTTTTAATCGCCTTCACTCTACCTTTAATAAACCAGCATCAAACACTGGAAGACAAATACTCATTTCAGCTATAACAGAAGCATTTCTGTGATGTACTCCCCAATTTTTATATCCGATTGGAGACTCAACTCTGACAAAACTCAAACATGTAAGGTCTCTGTATTCCAGGCCCATCTGCTTTTCCTCTTTGGAATCTCAAAGACGGAGATGAAATACAGGATAAAAGACTTTTCAAATTGTGGCTGTTATTTCTCTCAAAAAGTTAGCAGTAAATAAGAGGTAATTTCAAGCATTAATCTTTGGTCCCAGACCTACCATGTTTCTCACTGTTCTCCACAGCCCCAACACTTTACTTACTTTCTGAAAACAAACATTCTCAAAACAAACAAGATATAGCAACTCAAGCAATGGCAATCAAAAATCTTCTGTGCACTAATGAAAACGGAAGGGAAAGGCAGTGAAAAATAAACAGCTCCATGATTTATGTTATGAAGAAAGCTTTGTGATTATCTTACTTAAATTAAATGGAATCACACGGAAGTAGACAATTTATTAAACCAGACTCAAGGAAGGGTTATGCTCAAAACTCAATATTAATTATTCTGGCACAACAAGTAGAACCATAATGTTTAAAGTTGCTGGCGATACAAAGTTGTCAGAGATCATGAATGGTCTAAGATGAAGTGGTGCCACATTAAAACTACCTAGTAAGGCCAAGTATTTCAAGATTAGTATCAATAACTTCAAATAGTTCACCAGGTAGAAATCACCAGACAGAAGAACCTGAAGTTTGCTCAGTCACAAGAAAATAACACAAGGCAGCCAAAGAAGGTATCAGGGGAAGCAGCAAGCCACGATAAGGAAGTGTTATGTCATTTTGAAGACACTCTGAGATCTCAAGGAGCTATTTATGTTAAAAGACACCTGCACCATTTCAGTTTGAACACAGCAGCTACTAGAACACCCCGGGGGGGAAGCACATTGGGAGTAGGGAATAAAACCAGCTTTTCTTAGCCTACAGATCAGAAGGTGAGAGATATGAATGCTGCGTAAAAATACAGCACACTGAACAAGGAAAGGAGCTGTTAAGGTGAAGCTCAGTGCTAGCACAGCAACAAAGGTGCACAGAAACGCTATGAATCGGAATTTTGCCATAAATTCAGATGTCAGTACACAGCTTCAAAACATCAGACCACCACCTTCCACCCTAGCCCACTGAACACAACAGCAGGCACAAAACGCACCTCCTTTTAAAGTAAAGATCAAAAACCGAGCAGGAGATTAAACCATGCTATTAATAAATTAAAAAAAAAAAAGGAACGAGACCAGGCAACTCGGGAAGTTTCTGCCAGCCCTTTAGAGGCAAATATGCACACTCATCTCCCGGACAGACACCCGCACGTCCTGCCCCCGGGCCCGGCTCGGCAGGGCAGGGTTTTGTTGCCGCAGCACAGGCCGGCCAGGCCCACCTGCCCGCACACCGCAACACCTGGCGGGGCACGGCTGGTTTTCCAGGCAGCTCCTGGATAAAGAGCGCCCCAGCGGGAAAAGCGCGGCTGGAGGGCTGGAGCTGGGGCGGGCAGCGATGGCTGTGCTGGGCTGTCCTGCCCTTCG